GATACATACTTTTTTCTGCAACTGACACAGAAGTCGTCCATTTTTATCCAGAATTAGCTCTTGAATTAACGTTTCTTTTACTGGCACAAACATAGGTATGTTTCTAGGCAACCCTTTAAGTTCCTAGGAGCAAAAGTTGAACCATGCAAAAAGGATGTACTAGGTCATCAAGAATGAATAGTAGATGGTTTTATTAGGATCAAAAGTGACACTTTGTTTGACAAGCCAATTTTGCATTTGCGAGGCGGAGCGTTTAGCGAAGCCGAGCGAAAGCAAAATTCGAGCACTGATAGCCTGTAAAGGTGTGCTAAAACCTGAGATCACAACGACATTAGGGAGAAAGGGTTTTCTAGTGGGTATCAGTCTTTTTGGTTCAATTTTCCAAATGGGTAGAGACAGAACGCTTCGTGTATCTGAAAAACAGCGAAAAAGCATCATAAATACATTTTTTGAGTGAATGATATTCACCTTTTTCTTCTCACCTCATGTTTCCTGTCATAAACATGAATTAAAACTTCAGCACGATAATCATATTACACTGTTTTACCACTACGCAACCCGTTTTTGAAACGCCTATAGACACGTGTGTCGGTAACAACTCCCAGGTAGCACATCATATTGGCTGGAACCCGATTTCATATTGGGCCGATATAGATATATCGTACATGTGAAAAATAATATAGGTCCAATATGAGAGTATATTGGACAAACAATATTGGAATGATAATATTGGTGGAATATTGGTTCAACCTGAGATGAATATGGATTCTCAGCTACAATATTGGAGCAATATTGGTTGTAAAATTCGTTAACAATGTGTTGAAAAACATATCTATGAATGTTATATAATATTGTTTTACGAATGTCGATACAACAACATCGTATACATATTGTTCCCGACATTTACAACCAATATTGCAATTTGAACATTCTCTCCATGTCGTTTCTGAAGCGGTTATGCAATATTGTATATTCAAGTTAAACGGCATATCGGTTGGATATTGTTTTAACAATATTTGAAACATTATATTCACCCATCTTGATTGATATCATCTTATCTATATCATGCGGAAGATATCGTATACAATTTGCTTCTCACATTTATAACCAATATCGCGATTTGAATATTGTCCCCATGTTGATTCTGAAGCGGTTGTGCAATATTGTATATTTGAGTTCGACGGCATATTGGTTGAATTGTGTTTCAACAATATTCGAAATATCATATTCACCTATCTTGATTAATATCATTTTATCCATATCATGCGGAAGATATCGTATACATATTGTTTCCAACAATCATAACCAATATAGCAATTTGAACATTCTCCCCATGTCGATTCTGAAGGGGTTTTCAATGATTCAAATATGAATATCAATAACGGCAATTCAATATGTATCTTATATCGGACATAGAAGAAAAAAACAATATTGTATTTTCAAGTTCAATTGCATATCGGGTGAATAGTTTTCTAGCCATATTCAGAAAATAATATCATCTTATATTGGCTGATATGTGATTCACTATATCATGTGAGAAATATTGTTTACATATTGTTTTGAGAATACATATCGATATCGAAATATCGATATTTATTACATATTACGCACTCCCAAACCGATGTCGATAGATGGCGCTATAAATGATTGGTAACGTACTCTCATTGCTGATCCGACGAGAGAATTTAAATATTAGCTCTAAACGATTGTAAAGTATTATAACCTGGAGTAGGGGTTAACCGTGATCAACAAGGCGGCTTTCCTTGGGCAAGGCCCTCCCATTGCACTCCGGCTGGGCTGGCCTTTGTGATTATTCCTGATGCGAATAACTCGCAAATATTGGTATGAAAATATTCCACCAATATTTTGAAGACAACATAGCTACATAATGATTTTCAATAATGTACCAATATTTCCAACCAATATTGCACCAGTATATTGATATCACATTTCGTGGCCAATATAACTTCACGAATATACCAGCAATATTGGTATGAGAATATTCTACCAATATTTCTGAGACAACATACCTTCATGATGATTTCTAATGATTCACCGATATTTCCATATATCACACCAATATTGCCGAATGTTCACCATTAATTCCTCGCCAATATTGATATTACATTTTGTGTCCGATATAACTCTACGAATATTCAACCAATATTAATATGAGAATATTCTACCCACATTTGGACACTGATATTGTACCAATATCGCCGAATGTTCACATTTTTTTTCTCGCCAATATAACTTTCACAATATTTTGCCGATATTTTTGTAATATTGCACCGATGTTGTCCCAATATATGCGTGCTACTTGGGCTATGATAGCATTTTTGAGGAAATGAGTAAAACTGTTTCACTCCAGAAGATGCTAACGTAGTTATCAAAACAGAGGTCTAGGCGTCAAAAAATTGGTTTTGTTAGTGGTAAAATGTGGGGTGCATTCTAAACTGAAAATGTGTATAGAGCCACTTCCGCTCAAACCATCAGAAACTATATATAGTTCAGTTGTTCATTATCTTTAGTATCATCTCCAAGCTCTTTTATCTTTATATTAATTCGTGAAAATTTGAAATTTGGAAATGATTGAGATATTCATTATACTGAGACGGCCAGCCTGTATAATTCGTGAAAAGATCACGAATAATTTTCGTTGCACTAGTTATATTACTACTTAAAATCAACAATTTTGTCTAATTAAATAAGGCCAGGCTCTATCGGGAGCTCTAACGAAACGCCCAAAGAATATAGATTAACATACTGAAGCATCTTTTTTTTTTTCAGAATTCATTCAGCCCATTTGTTTACCATTTGAAAGAAATGTTGAGAACTCAGATCTAACTGGGAAGAATCTCATTGTAAGTGGATGGGGAAAAACTGATTCAAGTAAGCTCACCAAATGATTTGAAATTTGTTAAAAGTACGAACACACTGAAATAAATATAGTCGGTAGTAAATACCACACGTTTAGTGGAATATAGGCGCCCAGTCACTACATTCATCAAATATTACCACACTACAAAATTTTCAGCCACAAATATTTACGAACATTCGTTCCATATGATGTGATATATCTAAATACTATTGCTATTACTCGAAATTTGTAGATACGTTAACTGTTGATATCATAGCAAGCAGACAGAATATTGTTGTTTTGAGATATTGCCGATACCAGATATCGATAATGATATTAGTTCACCTGTGAAATACCTACATCTAGAGAATTCTGTTTCCAGGAAAACTAGGTGGATCACCTGTCCTCCAATTTGCGACTGTCACTGTATGGAACCATAACGACTGCCAACAAGTTGTTCCTCCAGAGGTAAATATCGAGTCTTCAGTGGTAGATAGATCAATTTCTTGCCCTACAGATCAACCCCTTCAAAATGTTCAAATTGAACAAGGGGTAAATTTACACCTTGTCAGAGAGATATCTCGAATATGTAACAACGGTCAATTTTTTTTGTTCTTGTGCCATATCCGCAAGTAAGCAGTCCAAAGATTTGATTTTTAATGGCATTTCTATCCAAATCATTGGTAAGCACTGTTTCATTTTATTACTTGTAAAGTAAACTAATCTTCATTCGAAATCAGTTTTTCATAGTGAATGTCCGTCTACGCGATAGGTCTCATCATTTCAATTAAAAAAGTTTATATTTACAGAGTCCCATCTCGATCAGTAGCGAATCTACAGAGGGTCACAGTTAAATTAATATCTCGCTCACTTTTGAAGATATTTATTTGAAATTCCATGTGGTTCTTGTAGAGATTTTTTTGAATCTACAGGGTGATACGGTTTTGAAGCTATGGGCTTCTTTATCCCCCCGAACTTTTTCGTAGTACACCTCTAAAATTGTTCAGTTACTAAATACAGTGGATCTTTCAATTCAGAGGCTCTTTGCTTCTCAACTTTTTTGGAGAAACGTCCGTTCTCGAGATAAATAAGCATTTCTGTTTCAAAACACGTTAATTTTATCTATATTTTTCTCCTAAATTTTATTCTTGGGCAAAATTAGTTAACATTCCGCAAGAATATTCTTCGCGAGAAGTTGAATGCTATTTTATTTCTAATTTCTTCAAATGATATTGAAAAATATATTGGATGAGGTATATGGATACAACTGGATGGAGCTTAACCAGAGGCTTAACATGAATTTTCCACGTCGTCGTTGGATTGGTCGGTTGAAAGCATAATTATCTTTCCTGAGTGGCTAAGGTCCAATGGTCACCTAATAGCCTCCAACCATTCATTTCTCTTAATTTTATAGGAATATTAGAATCATTATGATATGAGTAAACTTTCAATCCAAAATCGTCGTAAATTGATGAGCAGGTTTGGCACCTCACGCCATAACTCAAATTCTTCACAGCTGAATGAATATACAAAACAAGCATGATTCCATTTGATTTAAATACTTGCTCAACTGATGAAAGCAAATTGAAATAATAAATCATTTATAATCCACAAACTCACCGATGAAAAGAAACATCTTTAGTATTATTGATCATGGAATCCTGACACCAAAGAACAAAGCACTTCATATTTCCTAGGATTGGCGAAAATAAAACGAAAAAATCAGTATAACCACTCAATTTTGATATTTTTTTTTTATAAAGCCGACCGACTCCTGATCACATAAACAAAACACTTTAGCCAACGCCATCCACCTTGCCGCCGCCTATGAACAAAATGGATGCTAGGTTGATTTCGATACCACGTCAGAGTCATGAACGACAGCTTATGATGGGGTTCCTGCGTATTGAGCAGGAGCGTTTTCAGGCGAGCAACTGACCCTACATTTTCGGGTCGCTGCGATTTGTTGTGATTGTGAATTTATTTTGTAAATGATGTTTCTTTGATGAGTTGAAAGAATTAACAATATAAAAGATAGATAGCTGCATTGAGAATACCATTTAGAAGGACAAAGTAAAAATAAAGTTCAGGGTGTGTTATGACATCCTGATGATGACATAATGTTTTTTTCGTCTTTTAGGTCCAACCAATAACGACGGGCCAACTTTGTGCGAATGGAAAAAAGGAAGACGCTTGTAAGGGAGATAGTGGAGGACCTTTGATCAATCAAACTCTTGATATCGATGGAGAATTGAGGAATTTTCAGATCGGCGTGGTTTCTTTCGCGTCAACATTGACATGTGGCATCGCAGAACTTCCACCGATTTATACCAGGGTCGACAAATACCTAGAGTGGATAGCCAATAATGTCGAATAAATATCGAAAATCATACGAATTTTGTTTTTTGTATATTTATTATATTTGTATACACTAATATAAATAGTTATTTTACATTGGTTCAACTTAGTACACATAATATACAATAATTACTGATAGAAATCAGTTAGGGAGCTTAAAAACTACCGATAAAGTATTTGCCATCACCCATCGAAATTCTTCCTAATTCGAGTATACAGGGTGATTCGAAAGGGACCAGGCCTATATAAGTGCATTCGACAAGTGAAAATTATCAAACGAAAATTGAATGCTATCATCCAAATGTCATTGATGGGATTGTTGAGAAAATCATAATCAAATGCCCTACCCTCTATTGCTAAAAAAATATTAATTCGTTCGTTCTGATGAAAAGTGTCAGTGTGTTGAATAATGTTAGGGTTTTAAATATTTTTGGTGGACTCCTCAATTTTATCCTAGCCTCTACTAAAATGGATTCAATACGATGAATATTTCATCTGGAACAGCAATAATTATTCATGCAGAGAATCATGCCATTTCAAAGGTGATTATTGTTCCAAACCGTCATTACCAGTTTTTAATAATTGCTGAGTATTGGCGATATACAGGGTGTAATTTGATTGATGGGTGAAAATTTGGGATATGATTCCTCAGCTCATTCATGAGAAGAAGGTTTACGTGAATATGTGCCCTCAAACCTCCCAAATGTTGAGCTATAAGGTGTTGAAATTGTATTTTCTCTCTATCGATTGAAGAAATTCTCACAATGGAAAAAACTGTCACGTTTATGTTACTTGTCAAAAATCCTCATTATTTTGAATACAAAATAGGACACTGTAGCCTACTAGTTCAAAATAATTTCGTAATGCCACAAAACGGTTTGTCGGACGTGAATAAATTCATCAAGTCAAATTGTTGCGAAATAAATGAGGATTCCAGAAATGATTTGTATTTTCGGAGGAAGCAAAGGCATATAATATTTTTTCTAGAAAAACCTCCAGTATAAATCCTATACAGACGCCACTGATGAGAATATTGAAAAATATCCAGCATGAAAAAATGTCTACTGGTGCTGCTTAGTAAGTGCATGTCAAATTTCATGAAGATATCTAGAACAGTATTGAGGTTATGATAAGAAAACAATTTTTACTTGAAATTTCAACACCCTGTAGCTCGAAAGTTCAGAGGTATCGGGCATATGTTCATAAAATTATATTTTATTTTCAAATTGAGCCAAGAAACCATATCCTCCATTTTCAGCCATCAATTGAAATTACACCCTGTATAGCGTCAAATGTTGATTTTCACCACCTATTATACTTCTCACCTCGTATGATACCTACAATGCCTACACGCCTATCTTTACAGATTGATAATGACATATAAAATGTTGTATTTATTAAATTAACTATAATCGATATTCCTCGAAGACGTAAAAGGGCCAACAATAATTTAGCTTCTTCCAAAACATGTGGGATTGCCAGTTTGAATTGACAAAGTTCACTTTGAATCACTTCGAACTGGCAATTCACCTTTGTTACCAATTTCAAGTGATAATATTGTTTTTTTACAAACATCAACAAATGACAAGGTTCGCTCATTGATAACAATCAATATGCGGTAACGTTTTTTTTTTCTCATTCTCCTATATGTAAATGCTATAAAGAGTGCGCGACGTAGTGTGTGAAATACAATACTGTGGAAAATCCATATTTCGCGCACTCACATATAAACTACACCGGGTGAAACTGACTCATCGTTTACCCCCGTTTTTTTCTTTGTTTTTTCAGCTACATTTCTGAAACTTGAAACATCAAATATGCTATCGACGAAACTTTCTCACATTTTAGGATTTTTTTTTCATCTTCCAGTTTTTCTAGAAATGACATATTATTATAACGGATTTAACAATACCAGGTTATTTCAAACGATTACCAAGACAGTGTGACAGAAAAAGAAGTTTCGATATTTAACCGTCACACCCATTGAGCTTATATGGAAACTTCGAACGTGAATATCTTCGTAATCGTTCAAAATAACTCAATCGAACTCGGTATTGTTGAATTCGTTATAATGATCTCTAAACGATCATGGAATGAATTACAGGGTGTACCAGTTGAAGATCGGAAGTTAATGTGATTTCCAGGAAAAAGGGAAGATGAAAAGAAATCCTAAATTGTGAGAAAGTGCCCTCTATAGTGAGCATATTCGCTGTTCCAAATATCAGAAATATAGCTTGAAAGCCAAAGGAGAAAAGGAAGTATACCATAAGTCTGTGTCACCCGGTATATTTGAGATTTTTGTATTTTAACCCTCTCAATTGCTCCTCAATCAAGTAAACATCCAAGAAATCATTTATTTCTGAATGTTTAACAATAATGTAAGCCAGCGCTATTTTTCACAGTCGTCCCAGGGACATCCCTTGAGGACGTCCCTAGTGAGACATATGTGCGTCCCGCAGACGTTCAATGGACGTCCGCGGTACCAACTCCGAACGTCCTATGGACGTCCTGAATGTCAAGACGGGACGTCCTAAGGATGTTCATGGGCCATAATTCTGCTATTAGGGTATAGAATTTTTCCTGCTGAGTTGATGTTCAGGTATAGTTGAAAAATGATCTATAGATTGTCACGACATTAACTGATATCTTAATGCCCATATCAAATTTTATATATGAGAAGTTGTTTTTTAGTACACAATGGAGCCCAAAATGAATGATCCAAAAACAGCAATAGGCAAATATTGACATTTCCAAAACAGTTAATGTACAGGGTGATTCACCATAAATGTCCCCCCTCTAGCTCACTTATTTTTGAACCGATTAAAAAATTTGAAAAATAATCTGGAATGATTTTTCAGAAATTTTTTTCTCGTTGCATCAGAAAATACAGGGTGCTCGGAACAAACGAGCTGATTTCATCAATGCATCACACTTGGGGTATAGCGGGAATGATTACAGAGATATAGGGTGTTCAAAATCGAGATTTCTCAACTTTTGGATTTTTTTGTGTCGAAACTATTCATTATTGGTCAGAATGGCTTCTATGTCCTCATCTCAACTTTTAATTAACTATCTACTGACATTTAATTGGAACATTTACAGGGTGGTTCAAGATTCTGACATGAGAGCCTTTTTGACCGATAATGAATAGTTTCGTCACTAAAAAACCCTAAAGTTGAAAACTCTCGATTTTGAACACCCTATATCTCTGTAATCATTACCGCTAGACCCCAAGTGTGATGCATTGATCAAATCAGCTCTTCAGGGAGAATCTAAAGACACAATGAAATATAGGGTGTTCCTTTTGAAAATATCGAATAGTACCCTGGAAATCGTTTGCTCCGAGCACCCTGTATTTTCTGATGTAGCGAAAAAAAACTTTATCGAAAATCATTTAAGATGATATTCCAAATTTTTAAATCGTTTCAAAACCAACTGAGCTAGAGGGGGGGACATTTATGGTGAATCACCCTGTACATAAGGTAATCGAAGTGGAATATACTTTTCACTAGAATCTTTGGGATTTTTTGACGACCGCGCATATCCATCAGAGCTCTGCACAATGCAATACTCTATTCAAGCAGCGTTTTTTTGATGAAAACGGCAATAACCAGTTCAAAGTGACAATTGTCAGTTCAACACCCCCAAACACCTCAGCTATCCAGGTGATCGAGAATCCATTCCATATACTTGAACACGTTCGTGTAGATCCCCGGCTTTCCATGCGTCCCACAGTATTTGGGTCCGTAAGAAACGATCCCGTACTGGATGAATCTGGGCGTGTCGTCGACTTGGCCGATAAACTTCAAGGGTCCGCCACTGTCCCCAGCGCAAGAGTCCACTGCTCCAGTGCCGCCCGCGCAGATTTGGCTGCTGGTTATCGGGGGGAATCTTTGGTACGTCTTCCTACAGTCGGGCAAGCTCACCACGGGGATGGATGCTTTTCTGAGTACTGGGCTTTTCAAACCTAGAATGCATCATCGAGATATTCAGGGTGTTTCAATTTTGATCCTCACCTTTGGGATCTAGGAAACTATAAAAGCGAATTCTTTTCGAAAACCTAGTGGTGCACTGGTTTTGCACCAGTTTTGCACCCGCATTACGTTGGTTCTCTTCAAAATCAGATTTGATACATTTCCAATGGAATACGAATTGAAATTTATAATAAAATTATTGTTGATGGAGGCTAAATCGGATTAGTTGGATTGTCTTTGTTTATAACTTGTCCGCATCCTGGTATTCTTTCTTCTTTTGTTCTATTACCAACAAAGAAGAATTTTGATGGAAATACTTTTGAGCACTTTTTCAATAAGTTCCTCTGCATAATCAGTAATTAGTGCAAAACACTTTGAACAAAATTATGAATCCTGGGAAGTAAACTCCTTCAATTTCTTGACTGACTTCGCATAGAGCTCCTGCAAGAATTGATGCACAGAGCTTTATTTGAACTATGTGAACCGGTGTTCTTATGGAATCCAAAACCCGATACCAGTTTTGACAAAGATGATTAAATTAGGGCAAAGTTGTGCATTTACCTAACTAACAATATAATTATTCCGTTTAAAATGTCTCGAAATTCTAAGTATGTCTGGAGATATCCGGAAAATTTTTCGAAAATTGATTTTATTTTTTGCTAGCTCTATTTATTGTAGGATTTCAAAATAAACTGCACTTTTGCATTGCCATTTTTTTCTCACTACATGATGGCACCTTTATATTTGCTAACTGACGTTTTGTCTTCCAGCCACCATCATCAACTTTATTTTTTCCTATGGGTGCCATATTGGAATTTCTTCTTTTTTGTATGGACCTCATTATTCTCTTTTGAATGGTGTATCACAAGTTACCATTCTTCCTGAAAAAATCGGAGATATTTCAAAAGACACATTATAGGTAGGTAATATAGAAGGCTTTTAGTTTGATGTTTCTCTTAAAATCTGTCACACTTAATGAAATTCGGTTATTTTGTATATCACTGTATTCTCCACAAGAGGAGAAAAAGAGATATAATGAAAATGTATTAGAAATAAGTACAATAGAAACAGTGTTCTGACACCTGAAATGTATTGCACTTACTTACAACTAGATATGAACCTCGAACGAACAAAAATAATCAACAAAAATTTAAAAACTGTACCTACTATTGAAAGGAATGGTTTCCACACAATATCCTCTAAGAGTTCAAAAGATTGAGTAGAGAAGATAAATTTTAATTATTATTTTTGTTCGTTGGAGGTCCATTCTACATCGTTATGAGTTCAACATTATTTCAGATGTAAGAACAATGTTTCTATTACTTATTTGTTATACATTTTCATATATTTTTTTTTTGCTCGTGGAAGCCATTTCCACTGAAAATACAGTGACATACAAAATAGCTGAATGTCATCTAGTGTGACAGATTGAAAGTGAAACATTAAACTCAAATTTGTTTTTTCTTAATATCTTCAATTTTCATAAAAAAAAATGGCAACTTGTATGGCGCCCATAGAAAAAATAAAGTTGATGATGGTGGCCGGGAGACGAAACGTCAGTTAGCAAATCTGGAAGCATCATCATGAAGTAGGGAAAAAATCGCAATGAAGAAGTGCAGTTCATTTCGAAATTCTACAATAAATAGAGCTAGAAAAAAATTAAATAAATTTTTCAAAATTTCGGTCTTTTTCGGATATCTCCGAACATCTTCGTATCCCTTATAGTTTCCGAAATATTCGATATTCATATTCAATACATACGTGACCACTTTATGTTCCAGAGCTAATTAAGTAGCTCTATACAGGGTGTTTCATTGATATAACACGAGGTGATGCTCTGAAACTTCAGATTCGAAAAACTCAACTATGCATCCGATATACAATTTTTGGGTGTCATGCGATCCTTGCACCAAAGTGCATTTTTCTTGGCATTTTTACTGAAAATTTCAAATCTAGATAGAGATATTAAAGACAACTGCCTCACATTCCCTTATCTCTGATGAAACTACATAAACGTTTGAAAACTTGATAGGATATAAAGTACCTACTGAATGATACGGTTGCAAAAAAAGTGTCACTTTGTATTTACCAAAAGTAAAGTAAGCCTGTAAGTATAGGCATTCAGAAATATTTTCAAAAATTCTTACCATTTTCAGTGACACCCCATCCAGAAACTATAACATTTTTTCCATTTAGATTAGTATCACTTGTTGGTAAGCAGATTGGTTGGACATTGGCTGGAAAAAGAATGTCAAACATACAATTGATGAAAAAAAGGAAATTTCTAGTCATCGAGATATCATCAGATACCATCGAATAACATAAATTTTATATTGATATTGAAAAATTTGTTCCTTATGTTGTTTGTTACCTAGGCACCTATCGAAATATATTTTCTATAAAAAGAAATATTACGACTCATAACTGGAAATTCTATTTGATTGAGTCATATTGATTTTGTCGAAGTATTGTTTTCGGGAGAAATAGTATATTGCATAACTATAGTGTGGATATGCTATTTCATGAAAAGATATACGACATGAACAATATTACTGCAGATTATTCATTTGAGAAGTAAATTATCTTGCAGGTTTTCAAAATAGTATATGTGTGATTTGTAAAATTTGTATATCGCTACTTCAAAGTTGGGAACCAACTCCCCAGAAGTCGAAACTTGTGCGGGGTTAGGAAGAACGGGACCTACAGCTTATAGTGGAATCCGAACCACTTAGTATCGAGGGTATCGAGGTGCTGCCAGGATTACAACCATGAATCACACATTTTAAAGAAAAATGCTCAGCCGACAGCCGGATTCGAACCGACAGTACCTCTGCATCGTGAACGGCTATCTAGCGAATTTCAGCGCATAGACAAACTCGGCCACGGAGCCCATTTCAGTTTTTAATACGTCGTGTCTGTTTTTATTTCAAATGTTCTTGCTTTGGTGACAAAAAGCCACCTCCGATGTTAAAAACCAGTATCATATTATGTGTTGTTTTCATAGATGGCCATAGAATAATTTCAAATGTTAACTTTTCAATAATGGTAATCCTGTCGTCAATTAAAATGGAAGTAAAATGTTAGGTTATAGAATAGCAATGCAACTTTTTCGACATTAGATTACATAAACTTTATATTTCACTTACCGAAATTTATATTCGCCGACATCGTAAGTTTGATGAGTGCAATATCATGTCTCAATCCAGTATCATCATACTCAGGGTGAACATGAATATTTTCGATTGCAAAATCTTGCGGAGGTGGGGCGCAGTATCCAGAGTCCGGATTGCAGTCTTTTGCACTGTCCAAATCGTACTCACCAAGTCTCACTCCACGTCTGAAAAAATATGTTTTGTTCATCATTGTACAGGGTGATTCACCATAAATGTCCCCCCCTCTAGCTCACTTATTTTTGAACCGTTTTAAAAATTTGAAAGATAATCTAAAATGATTTTTCAGAAATTTTTTCCCGTTGCATCAGAAAATACAGGGTGCTCGGAACAAACGATCTACAGAGTACTAATTGATTTTTTCAAATGGAACACCCTGTATTTTATTGTATTTCAAGATTCTTCCTGGAGAGCTGATTTCATCAATGTATCACACTTGGGGTTTAGCGGGAATGATTACAGAGATATAGGGTGTTTAAAATCGAGATTTTCCAACTTTAGGATTTTTTTGTGCCGAAACTATTCATTATTGGTCAAAACGGCTTCTATGTTCCCATCTCAACTTTTGATTTACTATCTAGTGAAATTTAATTGGAACATTTACAGGGTGGTTCAAGATTCAGAATTCTGGTCACCCTGTATCTGTTCCAATTATTAAATGTCAGTAGATAGTAAATCAAAAGTAAAGATACGGACATGAAAACCGCGTGACCGATACTGAATAGTTTCGTCACAAAAAAATCCTAAAGTTAAAAATCTCGAATTTGAACACCCTATATCTCTGTAATCAGTCCCGCTAGACCCCAAGTGTGATGCATTGATCAAATCAGCTCTTCAGGGAGAATCTAAAAATACAATGAAAAATAGGGTGTTTCATTTAAAAAAATCAAATAGTACGCTGTAGATCGTTTGTTCCGAGCACCCTGTATTTTCTGATCTAGCGGAAAAAAACTTTATCGAAAATCATTCAAGATGATGTTTCAAATTTTAAAATCGGTTCAAAAATAACTGAGCTAGAGGGGGGGACATTTATGGTGAATCACCCTGTACCATATTTTATTTCATTTCAATTTAATTTAAAAACTCAACAGGTTGCACCAGTTACAGAGTATGAATAAGATACGTTAGCTCACAATAGTAACTTTTAAAATATAATAGACTTACATTACAGTCACTAATGAACACCTTACAGTTCATCATAAATCGTAGATCTAAATCTATTCAAACTCAACGACAATAGTATATTATGTAACAAGTGTTATAAACGTCCTTTTAGTAACGAGTATTTTAAGCACGAGCGGAACAGAGCGGAGCGAGTGTTTAATGAACGAGTGTCTAGAAGAGTTTATAAACGCGTTACATACTATGCTTTTTCTACGAACTCGGAAAATTACATTGACATTCCTGCTATTCCTGCTAACCTACAAAATAATTCGAAAGGAATAGGAATTAAGAACATAATACATGCAACTGCATGCAACTGCATGCAACCAGCGAGACACGTATAAGTGATATTGGTTGTAGATGTGTCCAGGCCATTGCCTACTAATCTTTGTGTCACGTTTATCGTCATACTTAACATAAATACATAACTTATTCTCAAAGATGGATGCTTCATTTTTACACTTCTTGGAGATATGCAAGTACCAGAATATTCTCTTCGATTTCACTTTCGTCTACATTTCGCATATATTTTCAATGAAGAATTCTGATACAAACGAATATTGTTTTAATAATTCTGATACAAAATTTGGAAATAACAGTTGACAGTTATTACAATTGACAGACCAGACATGTCTCAAATTACTGAAGCTGTGTTTAATGAACTGTGTTGCCATGGTCATGTGTTTAAGAAATCGTGTTGCCATGGTAACGTGTTTAATATTTTGAATAATCACAGATCGTCAATCCGTGATTAATCGATCATTTAGCGTGGTACATATCCATACGCTAAATGCCATTTTAGTTATATGTGAGTAGAAAAAATATCACAAGATTGAGATATACCATTGTATGTTTTACACATAGTATTTAAAGGACCAGCAGAGTGTATATTCGTACGATGAGAATATACAGGGTGAGTCATAACTATTGGGACATAGGCACTATCTTCATTTTGATACAGGGGGCGCCACGTGAATGATTCCTGATGATTTTTTTTGACGGAACTTTTGAGTGATTTTGATTAAAAAATATGACCTAAACATAATTTCTACGTAATATTGGTACTCTTGTTCGAACACGATATTTTCATCCGCTTCGAGAAAAACGCTATATTGAACAGTTCAGAGTCTCAGAAGTTAATTAAAAATATCATTGCATTCATGAAGAGTGTGCTTTGAACTGTCAGATAATGTTGCTGGTAATGGCATTTCTTGTCAGAGAATGAGTTTTGGTGCGAGTTTATAGTCAAAATTTATTCGATTGCACGGAGAAAAATTATTGTTACAGTAACCAGAATTTTAACTAGAATTCAAGTTAGTATAGGCACAACCAGATATATTGTTAGTATAACTATTTGTATATAGTTAGCTCCAAATTGTTCTGATAGCTAACTACATATTGTTATAATTATATCATCAATGCACGGTCACCTCAACCATATTTATATTGTCTTCCTAACAAGATTATATTGCTATACTAACAATAATATATCGCAAACCAATCATTATTTCTTCGTTAGAATAACAATAATAGTGTTATCGTAACCAGACAGTTATGTTATCTCGACAATATAATATTGATCTAGGGATCAGAATATCTTGTCACCCCAACTACATTATATTGTTCTCATGAGTAGACTATCTTGTTACCATAACTAGAAACTTTAATATTCTAACAAGGATGTCGTGTTATTCTAACTTGATTATATTGTTGTTCTAACTGAATGATATTGTCCTAACTGGATTATTTTGCTGTCCCAACTAGATCGTATTCTTACCATAACAATATAATATTGTCGTACTTACGATGCCACTATGTCACAATCACTATATGATATTGTCACCAAATTTTCATCACATCAATACTCCAACTATACCATATCGTTACGTTAACAACATATTATTGTTAATCTAACCATATCATTTCGTCATGTTATCATTTTCCACAGGGCGTTTCAGAACATGTAGTATTCCAAAATATGACCCCTGATGATACATAACAGTTAGAATGCAGATCTCATTTGAGAATCCTTTTTCTTCTGTTGGAGGCATTTCATGGAATTCTTAGATACTTACAAACTGAACTCTCCTTGCCGATCAAGATAGTTAATTCGACATGGTTTCAGAATTTCATTAAGTAAAGTTTTACACAGAGAAATGTTGAGTTGAATATTGCTCCAAAATTTTTTGAATGTCAGCTGTTCGGTCGGGCTGAATGTCTCATAAAAATAATAATTTTCTCCAAATGGCTTTTTAATGACACTTAGCAGAAAATATGTACTTTTTCTGCCTAGGCAGAAAAAGTACTACCCATAGTCAAAAAAGTTTGATGTTATGCGAGTAATAATATGTATCAAATTCGTAATCAAAATTGACAATGACATTGGGTGATCACAAATTGATGGATAATTGGACATGGCGTGAAATAAAAACAAATTTGGAAAAAAATTATATGTTTCACATAGCTCCCTTCCTAGTGAAACAAATAACTATTTTTCCATCAAATATATAATGTTCAGAATGCTTTATTGAATATTGAAGATCAACTATAAAGGACTACATCTAATGACAGCTGCGGATTATTCAATATTTCCTCCACGATTTTTGACACAAAATGCGCAGTTGATATGTCAAAAGGACTGGCTGACTTGATGTTTTTTGGTTGCCTGGAATGCCTGGCAGTGGCGGGAAAATTTCAATCGGTCTCCAATTGTCGGTATCAAATCTTTGAGTACCTCTTCACTTAGATAATTGAAAACTCATCCATTCCCTGCTCTGAAATAGTAAACAAACAATACATTATCGATAGAGCTCTTCTTATATTCATAATTATATTTGGGCGCAAGGAAACCGTGGTCGAACAATTGAAAACCAAACTGCATTTTCGGAAGGAATTTTGAATATGGAAAAATGTACAAAGTGCATAATTATCACTGCTCGGGGTCAAACTAACTGAAGAATTCAACTGCCACTGATGAATTCAAATGTGTTGGTATGCACTTATACAGTGAGTGAACTGGTTCTTCAATACTGGTAATAACAGACAAACGAGTAGGCAATCAATCACTCAATCAGTCAATAAAAATATTTTCATTGTGATACCTACCTAGATCATATTGTTACCTTAAGTTAAATTGTTATCTCTTTACTCATTACAAGAATCCGTTTAGGTAGGTTCTCATAGCAGTATTCTATTTTTAACGATATCATATTGTCATCGAAGCATTCTTGTAGAGCTAGCATAAAGGATATGAAAAGAACTATTTCTATTTACCTAGATTACCATGTAGGTTATTAACAAAATACTCAATTGATCATTGAATAGGTACCTTCCTATCATTTCCTACCTATTATTTCATTTGGTACACAGAGAGAGATAGGAATTGAATTAACTTACCTCCAGTTATTAGCACAAGGTGATCTAATGACCATGATTTTGATAAATACTCCACAGAACTCCCCATTGCTTGAGACTAGTCAGCCACACAGTGAATTGAATAACGATTCCATGATCACCATAAACACAAACTTCACAGTAATGGAAATACATAAACAAAACAATGAACAAGTGTATTCGTTTCGCCCAACCTGCTCAACTTCAACCGTAATCTTTCCGTAATGCAATAATACTAAGGAATAATATGCATTATGACGAGTGATAAGTGGGGATATGACGCGAAGATAGTCGTTTTGATTGGCTGACAAATCTAGTAAAATAAGTGGATAACCATATGCACTGATTACTAGGACAATTCATGTGACAATCACTATATCGTTAGGATAGCTTCCGGTAGTTATAGTGATGATCACCTTTTATTATGGTTATAGCAACTATTTAATTGACGATATTATATAGTTTGGATGCCTATGAATATTTCTAGTGAGGTTCACAATGAATTATGGTTATACTAACTATATCAAGCTAACTATATGAATTATGTGTCCATGACAATGTCATATCTGGAGTCCACGTCATGGTAACTGAAAATCTGGTTACGTTAACCAAAATAATTTCAACAATATATTTCAGTTAGAATTCACCACAATAATTCTTTCCGTGTGCAATATGCCTCGTCACAATCATTTTATAAATGAATAAATGCGGGATGCAACCAGAAGGTATGAGTTGTAATATCTCTAATATCTAGACAGAAAGCAACCAAATCAAAAAACTTTTTCAAATATATTTCATATACAGTGAAATTATTAGCAAAAAAACGACAAAAAACGAAAAAAATCAACTTTAACGTCATGTATCTCTTTTCACAGCAATATTTTATCAAGGCATGTTTGGTCCAATTGCCATATTTTGGTCCAAACAATCCGCCCTTAGCCTATGTTCCAATAGTTATGACTCACCCTGTATATAAAATGTGTTGTATAGTTATGCATGCATGCATGATATTTTCGAAACATGTTTCCTATTCATGATTGCTTTTTTACTCACATTGTTGTATCCAAAATACAATGAGCTGCAGTCAAAACGAATCTATCAGTTATGAGGGTTCCTGCGCATTTGAAGACAACATCTTCATCACTATCATCTGAAACTCAATAAAAATGGTTATTAGTGACGACCACATTGAAAATTTCTGGATTAATTGATACAGTCCAAGAGTTATCTACAAATTGCGACTGTCATCCAATAACGAAATGACATAATATGTCCCTGAGGCTATATTCCGAATTCAACTGGCAGTACTGAATCTGCTGATTTTCCATTCCGAAATAAAAAAAATCACTGGAAGTGACAGATGCTTGTCAGCAGATATACTATTCATTCCAAATATTTCGACTCAACATTCTGCTGAAATTGCTGAGTATCAAAAGGTAGTGTGGCTTCAGTGAACTGTCATATTTTAGAGGAGGAAGGAATGTAACATTCATTTCCGTTATTAATGACATGATTCTCAATATCAGAAAATACCTGGAGTATGAAGTAGTAGAGCAGGTAAGGAAAGGAGCAGCATTGGCTAAATAAACTAAATAAACCTGGAATGTCTCCTAAAATTCATCATTATTATAGATTAAACGACTTACCTGTAGGAAGTTCAATCTTAATTATACGAGAACCACGTCCGATTAGACCAACTTGTAGTTACGCCTCTGGTGCGGAACGAGTCACTGTTTATCTCTAGTCAAAAAAACCGCCGACACCTCATTGTCCGGCTATCTGATTGTACGAATCTTCATTACGTTTAAAAGTGCACAAAAAAATAGATGTAGGTAAAGGGGTTAGATCTCTTATAGGGTTGGGTAGGGGTTGGTCTAATCGGACGTGGTTCTCGTATAATTAAGATTGAACTTCCTACAGGTAAGTCGTTTAATCTATAATTATACTTCGAACCACGTCCTTATAGACCAACTTGTAGATGTTTAAAGCCATCTATTTTTTTTAGAATTAATATAATAACCCTTACTAACAAATATACAATAGTAAGTAACAATCGTAACATACCCGAACAAAATACAACAATACAATATTATGTATAAGCATAATAATAACAATAGAAATATGTTCTAATTACTAGACATGGAATCGTTAGGAAGAATAATACTGCGCGCATAGCAACTGTCATCAATTAAGGGCCTGTTGTAATATTTTCCGAAAACTGCAGATTTACTGGACCAGCCCGCAGCATTCCTAATTGCCTCAATGCTTACACCATTTCGTAAGGCTGCTGAGGTAGAAGCATGCCTAGTGCTATGCCCCGTAAAAATCGAAGTATCTATTCCACTTCTTGATAAAACATTTTTTATCCAACGTGAAATTGACTGACATGTTGCCTTGTGATAGGGTTTTTTGTACGTCAAAAATAAGCTATCTACCTCACCTCGAATAGCTGAAGTGAAGGAAATATAATACCTTAACGTTTGACCAACACATATTTCCGGTTTTTCATTGAAAAAAGGAATTTTTATTATCGGCTGAGGCTTATTAGGGGAAGATGTCTTCAAGAATTCTTTTATCAAGATAATAATTTCATTTCCCTCGTCTTTAATATTTTCCAATGTTATTGCAGCTAGGGATTGCACCCTATGGGATGATATCAGGGCTAATAGGGAAACTAACTTCAATGTAAGGTCTTGTAAACTCAGTGATTCTAGCGGATACAGACTACCCAAGTATTCTAAAACTTTCTGAGGTTCCCAGGTTACCTGGTATCTAGGGTAAACTGGCCTTTGTCTGAAAATACCCTTCATGAATCGCTTCACTAACTGATCGTCATCTGGGGGCTGGAAAAGTAAATTCAATGCAGACCTATGACAATTTAAAGTATTATAGCTAGCTCCAGCCTCAAATTCTTGTAGGAGGAAGGAGATCAACTGATTAACGCAAGGCTTGAACCGTGACTTGTTATGGACTGTACAATAGTTCCACCACTTGACATAGGTGGAATTGTACTGTGTGAGCGTGTTTGGACTAAGTGAAGAAATAAACGTCGGAATGGCATTCGACGGGATGCCCTTCAACTCGAAGGCCGACCTGATAAAATCCCGGCTACCAGGGTAATTTTCCTCCATAGTGGGTGACTCTCTCTGAAAGGAGAAAGCAACAATTCAGGGCTCGGATGCAAGTATATTGGCTTGGAAATGAGCAGCTTGAAATATATCGGATACCAAGGTTGTGTGCTCCACGCAGGTACAATCACAATTCCTTCCGCTTGATCTAGGATAATCTTATTCAAGATCCGAGAAATAATTGAAAATGGAGGGAAGGCGTAAAAAAATAATGATGACCAAGATAATGTGAACGCGTCAATGGCTGATGAATCTGGGTCGGGCTTCCAAGATACAAATTTATCGCATTTTGCATTCTCACTAGATGCAAATAAATCAATCTCAGGACTGCCTAAGTGTTGAGTAATCAAATTATATGCATGTATATCGAGACAATATTCTGTCTCTATGTTCAGGTTTCGAGATTCAGTATCTGCCACCATATTTTCAGAAGACTTTATATAAGATACAAAAATTCGTAAATCCTTCTCTTCACACCATTTCCAAATCGATTTCGTTATATTGTCAAGGTTTAAATATTTTATACTACCCATTTTATTAATACAAGAAACCGCTGTTATATTATCTACTCTCATTAAAATGTTGCAGTTTGATTTTGTTCTGGCGAAACATTTCAATGCCTTAAAGGCAGCAGAGAGTTCCAAGTAATTTATATGCATCTTGCTTTCACTTTCATCCCAATAACCGTGAGTAGATACGTCATTGCAATGAGCCCCCCAACCTGTGTTAGAAGCATCCGAGAAAATCTCCAATTCAAAATCATTCTGATGAAGATAGGATTTCGACTTAGAAATATTTCTCAACCACCACTCTACATCTTCTTTGGCTTCGGAATCGAGTGAAATTTGAGCGTTGTAATTGAAATTATTCGATTTTAAGGAAACATATTTGCGACGCTCTAAATTTTTAACATATAACCAACCATAAGTGAATGCTGGACAGATAGATATCAAATACCCAATAAATTTTGCCAATTCCCTGAGCTTAATTTTTGAAGACTTTTTCATGAAATTTATATGAGCAGTAGCCTTCTCAACCTTATCCTCAGGTAATCTCAGGGTGAGATCTGTGCTGCTCCACATGAAACCTAGAAACCTGCGAGAGTTTTCAGGCACAAGGCAACTTTTTTCAAAATTAATAAGAAGGCCTAAAGAGGAAAGTAATTCTATGATACTAACTGAGTTACTTCTGCACTGTTCTTTTGTCATTGCTGTTATTAAAAAATCATCCAAATAACTAGCACAAATAATACCATTTGACCTAAGACTATTCAAAATAGGTTTAAATATTTTACAAAAAATATATGGAGACGTGCAAAGGCCAAATGGCAAGCATGTGAATTCATATAGAATATTTTGAAATTTGAATCTCAAATATTTTCTACTTTCTTCAGAAACTGGAATGAAAAAATAAGCATCTTTCAAATCTATAGTACACATGAAGCAATCCTTTGTAATCAGGGATTTTACGGACTTTACGTTCTCTAATTTGAAGTGTTTCTTTTCTACAAATTTGTTTAGAGCCTTCAAATTCAATACGAATCTGAAATTGCCATTTGGCTTAGGTACTAAAAAATATGAGGAGAGAAATTCTCCCTTCTTATGAGTGCATGGGGTAATAGCCCCAATCGATAACATTTTTGTTATGCTAGTTTGCAAACATTCGAACTCTGAGAGGGAAAATTTTCTTTGGGCTGGTACTTTCTTCTGCATAGGATTATTTGAAAAATTTATCGAGTATCCTCGAACCCATTTTAAAATAATGGGGTCATTCGTTATCATTGACCACTTATTATAGAATTGCCTAATTCTACCTGCATATTTGAGATTATTCACCACTACCTCTAGTCCCTCCGGTACTGCCTCTTTGGGATATTCTGATGACGCGATGTTCCTGCCTTCTGATGGGGATGAATTCGACGCTGATTTTCCTTTGGATTGTATTTCATTCGTGTATTGGAGGCCTGGCGCTTGAAGTTTAAATTTTTGCTTGTACTTGCGGCTGCTAGGGTGAAGGGTTGTTTCCTTGGGGTGATCTTTTGAGCTCGTAAGTCTGCACTTGTTTTGTGAATCGCTTGAGCACTCTTACACTTCTCGCTAAACTCCTTGCCAAAAAGCCACATATCAACTGATGATTCCTCTGCTACTTTTTGAGTTGCTACATTAAGCAGAGGAAATAGTTGATGTTTGCGGTGCCTTGACACCAGATAGTGGACTTCACAGAATATTTTCGATGCCTCTACCAGTCCTGGCGATATTCTTGTCCTAATCTCCTCCTGTATAGAATCAGACAAGAGAATATTTAGCACTTCCCCTACTGCACACAAGCCTTTACCAAGTTTTTCTTGTAGAGCACCAAGAATTCCGTCACGTTTTTTGTCTGATGATGATAGTAGGGTTTCTATTTCAGAGTTTATTTTAGGTACACCTAGCGTCGGGCAATTTTCCGGTATCTTGTACTGAGATGCCAGCTTATCACGTGTTTCTTTGTCTAAGCCTGCAGATAGATAGCACATCCATCTTGCTGCCAAATCGGCTTGTAAAGGTGGGCCAAAGGACGTTGTGGCAGTAGGGTCATCGCCCAAAAGAGCAGTAACCCTGTCCTGTATATCTCTACCCTCGCCCCCCTCTACTATTGATGGGACTTCATCCGGAACGAGTGTGTCTTCAATTGCTTCCCCCGAACTATTACCACTGTATTCCTGTTCGCTTTCATCTAAAAAATGAAAAACCCAACAATGCATAGAAGTTCTCTGAGGTAAGTGGTACAACGATTGTGAAGTTACAGGGAGAACATCCCCTCGCAACCCTTGCCTAATAATAATGCAAAATGCAACTATTATATTTTGGAGGAACCTCAGTGAATGAGACTCTGCTCATAGAACAGAAAAAAAAAACATTTTTGGAAGAACATTCCACTAGATAATTGTGATGTCCTCAAGAAACTTGAAAGGACTATTTTCCTGCCTGAGAGAAAACAGAAATTAGAGAGAACATCCCTTTTTTTTTTTTATTTAAGATGTTACATAGTACATGTGATTGCATCTCTAAAAATCCTCCTTGACGAGAGAACATCCCGTCTATATAGGTATTAATAGGAATACTTATGTAACAACTAACAGCAGTCGGAAAGCAAACTCCCGATAAATTCTATCCATACCTCCTGACCATGATTAACGAACCCTCTGATCTACTTTTCAATTCGTATCCCAGTATAGTGTCGTTTTTTCGAGCCTACTGGGCTGATAAGTAAAGCGTTCGAAATAATTCCATACATTATTACTCACTTGAATAAGAGTCTGAAGAAGATGTCGGTTCTAACATTCTTTCTATCCTCTTCAACTTCTCCTTGATTTTCTTATAATCACATCCTCGTCGTTTTGGCATGATCGCGAAAAGAAAAAAGCACAACAAAAATCACTATTTCACAAAACTGCTTTATGTGACTTGTCCACGCACTGAAAACGTAATGAAGATTCGTACAATCAGATAGCCGGACAATGAGGTGTCGGCGGTTTTTTTGACTAGAGATAAACAGTGACTCGTTCCGCACCAGAGGCGTAACTACAAGTTGGTCTATAAGGACGTGGTTCGAAGTATAATTAAGGCATATTGCGATTTTCATGAATCTCAATTCTCAATCTGGTACATCATGAGAAATTTATGGCAACAAAATGTCCAAGTATTCTTCATCACTCGAGCTTGAATCGCCATCGTCAACAATCGCAGAAACTATAGAGGATACAAGAATCGATTTCTCTTCCATGTTGAATATTAAATTTCCAAAATTTATAACAAGTAGGAGGCTAAACATCTAGTTCAGATAAACGAGAAACTACTACTGATGAAAACCATGAAAACGTGTCCCGAATTACAGTAGTGAATTTTTGATTTTATATTTCGGAACACAGATTTTCAGCAGAGTCAGTGGATCAACTTACAGTACTGACCAGTTGAATTCGGAATATAGCCATAGAAATGCAAATTCATTGTAGCTATATTCCGAATTCAACTGGTCAGTACTGTCATTAGATCCACTGACTCCGCTGAAAAGCTGTGTTCCGAAATATAAAATCAAATATACATTTCTGTAATTCGGAACACGTTTTCATCAGTAATCAGCAGCAGTTGATCAGCTGGTGAAATTTTTCAGTTGTCATTGATCTGGCAGATGCTTCTGCTTTAGCTAAATAAATAACAGGCATTTTCTGATATCAAAATGATATTATTATTGTATTATTGATAAGCCAAGACTTAATGTTTGAAAAACAACGGAAATGAATGTGTCATTCCTTTCCTCTCAAAAATAATGACAGTTCACTGAAGCCACACTACCTTTTGATAGTCAGCAATTTCAGCAGAATGTTGAGTCGAAATATTTGGAATGAATAGTATATCTGCTCACGAGTATCTGTCACTTTCAGTCAATTTTTTTGATTTTGGAATCAAAATTCAGCAGATTCAGTACTGTCAGTTGAATTCGGAATATAGCCTGTATTTCATGTTCGTTGCTCACAGCTCATCAGGAATTCTATTGGACCAATGACCGAAAAAGTGGGCAAAAACCGCCACAATGCGTGGAAATATGTCTCGTGGCCGTTCTTGCGTTGTTGAAAATTCTGAAAGATAATTTCATATTTTGCTAACACATCAGTAGCTTCGTCAGATGATATACTGGTACCAGAATATCACCTGACGAAGCTACTGTGTTAGCGAAACATGTTGAGTGTTTGAGAATTTCGTGAAAATCTTATCATTGGTGAAGTTTTCACATTTACCATGGATTTCCATCCAGTAACGGCCGAGTCAATTCAAAATTTTATAGGTCGCATTCTGAGACGTCAATTTGACGTATAAATATGACGACTTATGGAGCTTTGGCGTCATTATGGGGTCTCTCAGACGTCAACTTCGTCATTTTATGACCAAAAAATGACAATTGGACGTCACTCTACTACCTGGGCTATTTGGGCAAAATTAGGCGTTTTCACGCTATCGAAAAATATATGAATGATACATGTCACCCTGTTCGATTTTACAGAACTCAAAATGGCACAATCGGAATTTTGATATATTCATTCGTTTCAGTGATACAGGGGGAAATTGAACAATTGCCGATTTTGTTTCTATTTTCTGAGCACTCTATGGAAGGCATATTGAAAAAATGTCCATGTAGTATGATTCGTACAATCCATTGGCATCATTATAAATTGTATACAGGGTGACATTAAAAAGACACATCAGCCAATTTTCTTTTTTCTTTTAGCACTGTTGGATATTTCACTAAGGTGTTTCAATTTCAAATATATATATCTAACTCTACCTTTTTCTTCTACAATTTTTTAAATATTCGCAAAAACATATTCGGTGGGTCACATTTTTTATGGTTGCACCTCCGTAAATTCTCTGTAATAATCAAACGGATCTATTTTCTAGGAAAGTTGCAGTTTATATCTTGCAACAGCGCCTAATACTTCGAGTCCGTCCACACCATTCGAAAAACTGCAACAAGAGGAAGGAGCCATGGATGTCGACTTCATTCTGTTCTGACCGATGACAGTAAATTAGGAAGGATAGTATCATGGCATCTAGCCGATAGTGATTCATTGATATTTTCGTTTAGGATCGAGCTCTATTCGAGATATTTCAATGCATAAATATCAAAACCATAACCTGTCAGAATGAAGCCAGCTCCGAGTGCATTTGTGGATATGTCTGTTTTTGTTAACCAGTTTTACTTCTTCTATTTTTCCATTCGTTAGCTATTCGTTTGCTATTCGCAAGCTATATTCTTCACCATCAGCTATATTCAGACTAGATTCAGAATGTACGTCACAGTTTGCTTCCCGAAAATTAGAAATTGCTTTAATTTGAAAACGAAAACGATACTTGGAACTCTTTCGGTCGCCATTCTGTACAGCGTGACCATAAAACTGGAGAGTTCCGAACTTATCTTATGAAAATTCATCTGAAGGAAACTTCCCCATTAATTGCTCTCATTAGGGACTATGAAGGAGTTTGATATTATAAGATCATTGAACTAGACTCACCCGACTTGTAAGCAATCAACGCCATCCAAGGAAACTCATTCAGATCCGTTAGCCTCCCATTCGTGATCCTGGCGTTGGTCGAAATCGGCCCGCAAGTATCTTGCGGCAACATCCTGAAGTTCGCGTGCGACAGCAGAGTCTCAGAAACGTCTGAGTAGCTGTCATAAAAGGGCTGCGCAGTGGTACGGCTTCTGCGCTTTGTTGCACGGGTAGTCCGCTTGGTCTGCGTGCGCTGAGTGAACTCCTGCTCAGGGGAGGAGTAAGCAGGGTGAGTGTACGGTAGGGGAGCGAGGGTAGGAGGTGGGGCGTATATAGGGGCGGTTCTGTTGCAGCAGACGAAAGGAACGTTTCCTTGGAAGTCGCAGTGGTGGGCGCGGATTATGTTGATGACGCTCCTGGGTCGAGGGATGGGCGACCTGTCGAGCAAGTCGTCGAAAAACGGGCATTTTCTGATTTCCACGCATATCTCGCCTCTGGGGGGTCCACATGTTTGTGTACGGAAAGCTGCAATGAGGAAATGAATATTAGATACTACTCTACACACTGAAATGGAGTCGGTACGTAAGGGTGTCTCTCAAGGATCCAAACTAAAACCGATTTTGTTTCTATGGTATATAATATATACAGCGTGTCTCACTTTAAACGCCCCCCCTTCCCCCCTCTATTTCTCAGTTATTAGTCATACGATTCCAACCAAATTTTGTTTGGTATGAATAACCATCAATATGAACAGTTTTACAGCGATGCACATTATTTTGAACAATGCCATGCGTTCTTATTGAACTAACAAACGGTCGATTTTTCATAAAATCATATTAGGCATTTTTTCACAGGAATTCTAACCTTATGTTATTGTTCCTCGTGCTTTCGAACCTCCATATGCGAAAAATCACCTGATTCCGAATTAACAGGATTGGCTTCATTTTTTTCATTTTCAGTCTCAAATAAATAGTGACTTCAAATCAACTAGGAATTCTGGAACGTTCAATGGCTCCGGTAGGTGGAAAATCATGATTTGAAAGGAAAAACAAGTTATACTCTTTTATGTTGAACTCACGGTTTCCGAGTAAATAATTATTACGTTCAGAACAATGCTGTTTAGATGTGCCTGTTTTACTGAAACCCTTCATAGGCATCTTATGAAAATCCACATATGTGGGTTTGAAACCATGAAGAACAATATTATGAGGTCAGTTTTCCTGTGAAAAAATATCTAATATGATTTAATAAAAAACTTACCCCTATTCATTTCAATATAAATGCACGGCACTGTCTAAAATGATATTTGTCTTCGAAGAACTGGTCATATTGATGATTATTCATACCGATACAAATTTGGTAAAGATCGCACGACTGATAGCTGAGATATAGAGGGGGATCCGTTTGAAATGAGTATATACATATTAACAGATTCGAGGCCGATGATATACAGGGTGTCCAGAGATGAAACCGACAATGCCAATGGGGTTATAGGGATTGCCAAAATATGATTGCAAAATGCCAAATACAAATTCTTTACAATTCCTGTTACTTCTGTAGCAGCTGGCAGGTCATTCAGCAAATTAAAAATAATAAAAAACTTTTCAGAAATAGTATTGGTCAAAGTCGATTTCAACATTTGAAAACCGCATCAATCCTGGATTTAACCAAAGTAATTGATACTTTTGCGAAAACTTTAGCTAGTAAGAGATTGATGTAAATATAATTGTTTAACAATGTAATGAACGAAAAAGAAATGATAGTAAAGTAGCTCAACATTTTTTGAGTAGTTGTAATATTTATATATTTAATATTTTCATTTGATAAAAGCTAACCAGTTAGTTTAGATAGCAGTGGGGCCCAATGTTTTGATTTGCCCCAGGGCCCTTGGTTACCTATAGCTACGCCACTGGATGTTTAGTGATTATGTTTTAACATTGAGTATTCACACTAGTGTTTTAAACATGATGGGCCGATATTTGTCCGTGTATAATCTCTGGTTTGGTGTAGGCTTCTTTAACAGGGGTGACAGATTTTACATTTTGATTCCACCGTTTGATTCCTTCATCTCTTTTCTTCAAAAATAGTATACTTTATTTTGATGAATATCTATGAGGCGCCGTTTGGTTCATAATTATTTTTTTCGATATATAGACATTTTAACTCAAAATATAGAAAAAAATCCTATATAATATACGAACTTATCAATATATTATATGCAAAATTTCTTATATCGTGTGAAAAATGTTCTATATATTTAAGTGCGACGAAATTTCAATATATATTAGTATGCCTCGCGCCGTTTGGTTCATAATTATTATTTGTAATATATAAAATTTCAACTGAATTTATATAGAAAAAAGTCTATATCAAATGCACAAATTTTATATATGACGAAATCTTTATATATTTGCGTATCAGGAAAGTCTATATTTGCCCGTCGCGAAAGTTTATATTTGGTTGTACCAGTGTGTGCAGAAATAGACTTTCGGGTTCCAGGGTCTACCGATAGGTGGCTGAACGCTGCTGGACATCAGCACAGAATGAGGTTAGAGGATCTGGCAACACTGATATTATTATATTCTGGTTGTGTCCAAAATACTCATCTGCCTAGAATGGGGAAGAAATGGAGAAGAATGAGAATACATTTTTCTATTTTACATAATCTTCAACCTCACAATTATTTTTTTTTTTTTCGAGTAAAAATAATGTCATTCCCAACGGTTTCAGTGGAAGAGTTTCTCAATGAAATTGTTGAATGTCACGATAATGTGGTGAATCTACTTTCTCAAGGAGATTCTTCAAGAGCCTTATCTCAAGCTCAGTGGAAAATTGAGGACTACTGTAGGTTGTTGAACATATACATTGATAATATATATACTGGCCTGTGAAAGGTTGAAACAGTTATTATCATCAGTTTACAATATACTGTTTGATATTTATGGTCAAATTGAGCATGTTCTCAACACTGTTGATTCGCAGGACCGAATCCTATGTATATTTTACTTCATCAGCTAGCAGTAACAGTGTTGGTTCCACGAAGTATGATATTTCAAAGGAACAATTAAGGATTTTGAGAACATCAGGTCTGAGTTGGACCAGAATATCAGGATTACTTGGTGTTTCTAAAGCTACATTATATTGACACAGAATAGCAATGAATTTCTTAGAACCTCAGTGTTGCCAGATCCTCTAACCTCATTCTGTGCTGACGTTCAGCCGCGTTCAGCCACCTATCGGTAAACCCTCGAACCCGAAAGTCTATTTCTGCACACACTGGTACAACCAAATATAAACTTTCGCGACGCGCAAATATAGACTTTCCTGACACGCAAATATATAAAGATTTCGTCATATATAAAATTTGTGCATTTGATATAGACTTTTTTCTATATAAATTCAGTAAAAATTTTATATATTACAAATAATAATTATGAACCAAACGGCGCGAGGCATACTAATATATATTGAAATTTCGTCGCACTTAAATATACAGGGTGTTCATTTCAGGACTTCCCACCCTAATTTTCTCGAAATGTGTGTATGTTTTTGAAAAATCCCGAGACACGTCAACTACATTTTCGAGGGGGACATGGTTCTAAAATGGTGGTGGTGGGTGGTTCAAGATTCATACTTTTGATCACCCTGTATTTGTTTCAAATAAATGTCAGTAGATAGTAAATCAAAAGTTGAGATAGGGACATGAAAGCCGTTCTGACCAATAATGAATAGTTTCGACTCAAAAAAATCCTAAAGTTGTAAAATCTCGATTTTGAACACCCTATATCTCTGTAATCATTCCTGCTAGACCCCAAGTGTGATACATTGATGAAATCAGCTTTTCAGGGAGAATCTAAAAATGCAATAAAATACAGGGTGTTCCATTTGAAATAACAAAGTTGTTGCTTCTTTTCGTTAGAAGCGGCAACGCCGCGGGGCTGAAAATATTTTAGAACCATGTCCCCCTCGAAAATGTAGTTGACGTGTCTCGGGATTTTTCAAAAACATACACACATTTCGAGAAAATTAGGGTGGGAAGTCCTGAAATGAACACCCTGTATAGAACATTTTTCACACGATATAAGAAATTTTGCATATAATATTGATAATTTCGTATATTATATAGGATTTTTTCTATATATCGCGTTAAAATTTCTATATATCGAAAAATAATTATTATAAACCAAACGGCGCCCCATAGATATCTTCGGGTGCGTATCGTTTCAGCCACATTTCTTCTCAGCCACATATCGTGTTAGCCACATTTCGTCTCAGCCACATCTCGTTTCAGCCACATTTCGTCTCAGCCACAGTGTCCGAATATACCCGAACGATGCGCTGTTGCCAGATAAAAACAGATTCTCCCAATTTAGCAGAAATACACAATGCAGCTTCATTTCGTTCCAGCCACATTTCGTCTTAGCCACATTTCGTCTCAGCCACATTTCGTGTCCATTTCGTTCCAGCCACATTTCGTTTCAGCCACATTTCGTCTCAGCCACATTTCGTCCTAGCCTAATTTCGTCTTAGCCACATCTCATCTCAGCCACATCTCATCTCAGCCTCATTGCGTGTCCATTTCGTCTGAGCCACATTTCGTCTCGGCCACATTTCGTCTTGGCCACATTTCGTCTCAGCCACATTTCGTATCAGCCACATCTCGTCTCAGCCACATCTCGTGTCAGCCACATTTTTTCTCAGACACATTCCATTATTGAGACGTCAAATAAAAATGTTCAAAAGTGATGGAAATGAATGTCTTACAGAATTTGAAGGAATGAATAGTTATATTAGAGATAATTATTTTTTGAACTCGTTTATGTGGAACAAATTCGCTTCTCCAGCCTTATATGATGCATTCTGAACGTAATGCGTGTTGCATAGTTTCGCCGTGTAATATCGTAATACATGTGTAATGTGCATGAATAAGTGCAAGTAGGTATACTGATATGTTGTTCTCCATTTCCCATAAATTTTTACCGCAAGCAATCTGACAGCGATGGAAACAATTCAATTGAATCATTGAAGAAATCGGAGACCAAGGATACAATGACATCGAAAGTTAAGATAGGCACATAAAAACCGTTTTGGCCAATAATGAATAGTTTCGACAAAATAAAATTCATAAGTTGAAAAATCTCGATTTTGAACACCCTATTTATCTGTAATCATGTCTGCTAGGCTCCAATAAGTGTGATGTATCGATGAAATCAGCCCTTCAGTGAGAATCTATAAATGCAATAATGTACAGGGTGTCCCATTGAGAAAACGGAGTTGATGTCACTTTCGGTTCAACCGAAAGTGAAGCTGATTAGAAAAATAGATCTCATCACGCAATGGCTGTAGGTAGAGGTACCAAAAATTCCAGATTTATGTCTCTTTTAGTTCTCTATGAACATCTCATGAATTTGTTAGTTGAATAACCCTGTTTATTCAAATATGTTCAAAATCACATTATACACCGCCTCTTTTCAGATATATACGTCGGTGAACCGAATTGGGAAAAACTGGGAAAACAAAACAAT